CAACCTTTCGAGTAGCATCCCTTTAGATTACCTAGAAACAAACGGTAGGGCACTGAAATTAGGAGTTAATTAGTCCGCATGTCATTTTTCATAATGATCGGACAATGTGAAAAGTAACTTTACTAGTAAAAAATTGCAGGCGGGGGGAAAGGAAAAAGAGCCATAATTTTTTTTGGCTCTTTTCCAGTTCCCCCTTCAAAATACCGAGTTTTATGTTTGTTTTAGGTGTTATTACGGCTAAATCCGTGATGTTAGGATGTGAAGTATGAAGAACAAATCTGTTCACAGTTGTCGATTTATTCACCACGCCAAATTTCATTGCACTATGACAACGTTAATTAAGCTTTTCAAAATTGAATTTGAAAGGGGGGAACTGGAAAAGAGCCTTTTTTGCATGGTTTAGTGTCTTGGGAAAAATTGCGTTTACTCTCATATTACAAACCGTAGGGTCAATTAAAAATACCATCAGAAAGAGTTAGGTTATTGTTTTTCAAAGGAATAGGTTTCAACAAATATAAAGACAATAGCTATGCTAAAAACACGCAGAATTTCTTTCACTTTTTCCAACCCCCTCGTAAGTTTCTTTAAAATGTATTTAAGTATTTTGTGCGCGGCAAATTTCATGAAAAAACATCGTAAAAATTGGTTCACTCACTCACGCTCACGTGATTTTTCTTGCAGAACAACAAATATCTTTTTTAAAAGCCAACTGTATTTTTCTACAACGCTATTCATTTGTTCACTTAGAGTTTTGCTTTAATTTATTTTGATGAAGCAGAACTCGTTTCAATTGTAGTCTATCAAAATCAAAGCCTTTAACTTGGATCAGCGTCAGTTTCAACAAGATAAAAAATTGGGGCTCGCTTTCGCTCCGCTCCCTTCTCACTTCAAAATTTCTATTTTCACTGTTTCTTCAAGTGTTTTCTGGCTAAATGCGTTTGCGATGTCATGTTTGCGCGATAAAAATGAAGAGAAACAGATCTTTTCCACTACCACATGTTTGAATTGAAAAAAATATGTATTTCTAAAACAACAAAACTGCAAAATTTTACAAATGAAAAATTTGTTCATATAATTCGATGGTTATGAAAATTGGCATACAGACTAATAAGGCCATGGCAAACATATTTGGTCTTCATAATTAACCTTGTAAAACCACTCGTTTACACGATAAAATTGATGCTCGTGTGAGGTGGGGGGGGGGGGGGAAGGAAAAAGAGCCCGACTGCCTTTTAAGGTTTATGGAGCAGTAATAACCTTAAAAATTTCAATGAAATAAAACGGCTCTTTTTCCTTTTCCCCCCACCTCACGCCAGTTTCAACTTATTAGTGTAACGAGTGGTTTTACGAGGTCAAATATGAAGATCAAATATGTTTGTCGTGGCTTTATTAGTCTGTATAAAAATTTTCATAAGAATCGGACAATGTGGTCAACAAATTTACATGTAAAAATTTGCAGGTGGGGGGGGGGAAGGAAAAAGAGCCAATAAAACGAAATGAAAAAAAGAAATTTCTAAAATTTGAAATTTTTTATGTAAATCATCCCCCCACACGCCATATAAAATACAAAAGGATAGATTTCGCTCCTTGTAACAAACCAATTATGCCAAATAAGCTTCTTCTCTACCAATTTGGGGCGACTTCTAAGACGGATTCACTCTCCGCTTACGCGTTAATAGCGCGAAATATATCGCGCGTTAATTGTCCCAAATTGGCCGAAATAGCAATCTTTAAACCCCCGTAACTTTACGAAACATGATCACAGGTTAAATATCTTTTCAAATTTGCTCAGTACAACAATAGCTTTCGAATGATATAAAAAAATTCCGTCAAAATGGCTAGTTAAAAAGTCGAAATTTGTCTGAAGAAAAAAAAAACCCACCCCGAGCACAAATATTCCGTTACTTTCGTATCGAAAGTCGGAACAACAAGGCTGCCCGTATCAGGGCGAAGCTCTAAATGTTCCAAGTGCCTTTTTAAGTTTATGGAGCAGTAATAACATACAAAATTTAAATATAAAAGATTTTTTTTTGTAACTTCAGATTTCTTGTGAAAATCATCCCCCCACACACTATATTAAGTACAAAGTACAAAATGATTGACTTTGTTCGTTGTAACAAATCAACTATGGCAAATAAGCTTCCTTAAAGCAATTTGGAACGATTTCTAAGACTGATTAAATCTCCGCTTACGCGTTAATAGCGCGAATTATATCGCGCGTTAATTGTCCCAAATTGGTCAAAATGACCAAAATGGCAATCTTTAAACCCCCGTAACTTTACGAAAAATGATCACAGGTGAAATATCTTTTCAAATTTGAGCTGAGGACAACAATGCCCTTCGAATGATATAAAAAAAGTTTGTCAAAAATGGCTAGTTGAAAAGTCGAAATTTGTCTGAAGAAAAAAAAACCCACCCCGAGCGCAAATATTCCGTTACTTTCGTATCGAAAGTCGGAACAAAAAAACTGACGGCATGACTTAAAAACAACTGATGGTTCGACTTAAGAAAAGACTGACAGCTTGACTCAAGGAACAACTGACGATGCAACTTGAAAAAATTGAAAAATTTTCAGCGCGGCAATTTTGGAAATTTTGATGTCGCAAAATTAGAACACATTGACCGCACAAGCCCTGAATGTTCCGACTGCCATTTAAAGTTTATGGAGCAGTAATAATAAGAATTAAATGAAATAAAACTAAATGGAAATTTTTTTTTCTAAAATTTGAAATTGTTTATTAAAAATTATTCCCCCCACACCCCATATAAATCACAAAAGGATAAATTTCGCTCCTTGTAACAAATGAATTATGGCAAATAAGCTTCTTTCAACCAATTTGGAACCATTTCTAAGACGGATTAACTCTCCGCTTACGCGTTTATAGCGCGAAATATATCCCGCGTTAATTGTCCCAAATTGGCTAAAGTGGCAATGCTTAAGCCCCCATAATTTTACGAAAAATGATCACAGTTGAAACATCTTTTCAAATTTAAGCTCACGACAACATGTTATAAAACAATTTTGTCAAAAATGGCTGGTTGAAAAGTCAAAACTTGTTCGAAGAAAAAAACCACCCCGAGCACAAATCTTCCGTTACTTTCGATACGAAAGTCGGGCTCTTTTTCCTTTTCCCCCCACCTCACATAAGCGTCAATTTTACGGTGTAACGAGGGGTTTTACAAGGTTAATTATGAAGACCAAAAATGTTTGTCATGGCCTAATTAGCTCGCATGCCAATTTTTGTAACATTCGGATAAAGTGAACAAAACTTCACTAGTAAAATTTTGCAGGTGGGGGAGAAAAGGAAAAAGAGCCGAAAGTCGGAACAAAAACTATTTTATCATTGCCATAAGGCAAGGAAAATTTTCATTTTGACAAAAAAAAATTTTGTGAACAGTTGTTTTCTACTTATATTTTAAAATTACGTTTTTAAACATAAAAGCACTTGAAAGAACTTTAAAACAGAAAGTTTGAAAAAAAGAGGGGTTGAAAAAAATTGAAATCGGTTTTTCTCAACTCTGACTACACTTTTTGAAAATTTTTAAAATTAATTTTTAAGACTTCAAAGTTATATATCTCTCGACTCACTTTAATGAGTTCTCAAGCTACCTGATTTTACGTGGAAAAATTTTAAAATGTACAAAAGCTAAGAAAATAAAACACACGGAGACAAGTTCTTCTCTGCTAAAAAACTGGCAAAAAATTGACCTGTCCTCGCACCTACATTTTTTTACAAAAAAATTGTTTGTTTACATTGCCCGATAAGAAATGACCTTTTATCACACCAAAATTTTGATGCTCATGCGAAGTGGGATCTAAAGCAAAAACTGCCAAAATTTGATTGTGTAACAATTAATTAGGGTATTAATAAATTACTTAGGCTCTTTTCCACTCCACCCCACTTTTCAATTTGGCTCTTTTTCCTTTTTCCCCCCACCTCAAATGCTCATCAATTTACTTTGTAACGAGGGGTTTTACAAGGTTAAGTATGAAGACTAAATATGTTTGTCATAGCCTAATTAGTCCGCATACCAATTTTTGAAACAATCCGATAATGTAAACAAAACTTTGCTGGTAAAAGTTCGCTGGTGAGGGGGAAAAGGAAAAAACCTTCCGTTTTAATCTTTTCATAGTTGTCTTACTTGTTATAACAGTTAAATAGGTGACTTTACTATGAAAGGTTTGAAGAACAAATCTGTTCACAATTGTTGGTTTATTCATTTGTTCACCACACAAAATTTCATTGCAATGTTACAAGGTTAGAGTAGTTTTTCAAACTCAAAATTCAAATGTGTGAGAGGGGGGGTGGAAAAGAGCTATTACTGAAATTATTGTCTAATCAGGCAAAAAGTTGTTCTTCATATTTTTAAACACAGTATCAAGAAGATAGCCGAATAACCAAAAGTCTATTAAGAATAAAGTTTTTGGGTTGATGTAAAAACACTCTCTTACCGTGTCCACAGAGTAACAATTGGTGTAGAAAGATTTTATATAAAGATCGGAAAAAAATGCCAATCGTGCATGCGCGAAATTTGATAGAAGCTGGAAGACATGATCGAACTTTTTTTCCGATTCTCTAAAACGATTAAAAAAGTTCGAAATTGAATGCCAAAAGTGGAAAAAAGGGGAGTTGAAAAGAGCCAACGAATCGTAACACCATGAAATTGGTACGGCTTTTTTTCATTCTTCCTTCCTGACATTTTTTATGAGTTTTTTTGTTCAATTGATAAGATAAAAACGCTATAAAAGGGGCGAAATGAATACGTTTTCCAAATATGTTGAGAAAGATTTTTGAGCTGATGGAAAAATAATAAAATTACAAACAGAAAAAAAAACGATAAACTTTAAATTTGAAAAAATGCCGAGTTGAAAACCAGTTATGATGGGAGGAACTGAGAAAAACTATATAGGAAAATATATTTTTGAGCCCTGCAAAACTGCGCGGATCAAAATTTAAAAATTCTTGCTGCTTTTTTAACTCTTCAAAATAGCCACTTACCAATTGAAGTAATGCCGGCATAGAGATTTTGTATCAGCAAGTAACTTTGTCCCCAAATGATTGATTAGTTGCAATTGTAAAATTTCAGAGCTGGGTTAAAATAGAACCACTTAGTTAAAATTGCAAGCCAATAAGGCACGTGCCATCATCGTACTCACTTGTTCAATGAAGAAGATGAACAAATCATTGGATATACTTTTTTTCGATTAGGTTTCCCTTCATAATTCGACGCGTATTTCCCGACTGATTGGAGACAGGCTCCTTTCTACGTTTCCATAGATTGTATTTTTTCATATTAAGGCAAATTTGACACCACGGCTATTTCAACTTGAAAAAAACTGCTTTTTATTAAACTGAAGCTTTTAAAGTAAATTTTGCATGTCAACTACCCGTGTCGAAGTCCGCGATTTAGAAAAAATGTTGTAAGCAGCGCCATCTTATGCTTGAAATTCTTTGTCGTGCCGTCAGTCTTTTCTCAACTTGAGCGCTCAGTTTTTTTATTCGCGCCGTCAATACTTACTTAGGTCGCGTCGCTAAAGCCTTTTCTTTAATCGCACCGTCAGTTTTTTTTTAAATCAAACCATCAGCCTTTTCTTCAGTCGCGCTGTCAGTTTTTCTTAGGTCGCCCGCGAAAGTGTTTTGTTGTGTAGCGTCGTCAGTCTTTTCTTAAGTCGCGCCTCTAAGATCATCACTAAGTTGCTCTCTTTGACTTTTTTAAGTCGAGCCACTAAATGACTTTTCTTGAGTCGTGTCTTCATCTTTTTTTGAGCTCGTGCCGCCAGTCTTTTCTTAAGTCACGCCGTCAGTCTCTTACTAAATTGCGCCGTCAATTGCTCTTTAGGGCGTGGTTTAAAAAAAATCTTTGGCGGCATGACTTAATACAAAAAAAAACATTTTTGCAACGTGACTTAAGAAAAGACTGCCGAAGCAACTTGAAAAACTTGAAACTCAGTTCTTTAAGTTCTTTTCTTGAATCGCGCCGCTTAAATCTTTTCTTGGCTATAAAAAATGAACGACGCGACTTAAGAAAACACTGATGATGCGAGATATAAAAAAAGACTAACGGCAGGACTTTATAAAACATTTTCTTAACCTAAAATCTTTTTATAGGTCGCCCAGCTAAAGTCTTTTGTTATAACGTGTCATTAGTCTTTTCTTATGTCGCGCCTTTTAATTTTTTTCTTAAATTACGCGGTCAGCTTTTTCTTAAATATTTTTTAAGTCGAGACACTGAAGTCTTTTTTTAAGCGGTGCCTTCAGCTTTTTCTAGGGTCACGCCGTTACTTTTTTCTTAAGTCACGCTGCCAGTGTTTTCTTAAGTGAAGAAAAATCTCGGGTGTATGATTTACAAAAAGATTTTTGCTGCGCGACTCAACAAACGACTATCGATGAAAAAGATGAAGAATAATTATTTTCAGCGGCGTTTTCTAAGGAAAAATTAGGTGGCCTGAATTTAGAAGAAATTGATTGCGCTTTTTAGAAAAACTGACGGCGCGACTTAGAAAAAGACATTCGCGCTCTCAGTTTTTTGCCGAAATCCCAAAGTCAGTGTTTTTTTAACTCGCGCTGTCTTTTTTTAGGTCAATCCGCAAATTGTTGCTTGTAGGTTGGTGCCGCTAAAAAGTTTTCTTAGGTAATTCATGACCCAAGAATGCATTTTCAAGTTGCATCAGCATGACCCGAGAAAATATAATAGCGACATAACATAGAAAAAAAACTGACGGCATGACTTAAAAAAAAACTAATGGTTCGACTTAAGAAAAGACTGACAGCTTGACTCAAGGAATAACTGACGATACAACTTGAAAAAATTGAAAAATTCTCAGCGCGGCAATTTTCGAAATTTTGATGTCGCAAAATTAGAACACATTGACCGCGCTTCTTAAGAAAAAATTGACAGCTCAACTTAAAACTTACGGTGAAACTTCAGAAATGACTGACGGCTTTTTTTGATATTTTTTTAGTCGCACCGTCAGCCTTTTTCTATGTCGAGCCGTCAATCTTTACTTAATTTTCGAACAAGTCGCACCGACAAATTTTTTTCCGAAATTGCGCCACTAGAATTTTTTTTTAAAAATGGCGCCGCAAAATTTCCCTAAATTGTGCCGTAAACGAAGGACTAATCGCGTGACTCAAAAACAACACTGACAGCGCAATTGAGAAAAGATTGACGAGTCTGGCGACTTTTTAGCAGCCCAAACAAATGAAGAACCGATTGAACAAAATGATAGCCCAACCAATCCGACATTCAAAAAACAACATGAATCGCAGTTTTTTACCGCACTCCATTTAGGGTAATTAGGCTCTACAAGGGTTTTTAAAAAATATAATATTTACACTACCAAATTTGATACCAATAAAAATTGCTAAAAATATAATAACTTTTTAGAATTTTAAATGTCAATTATTCCATGATATTGTAAAAAAGGCATTTTGTCTTAAGTCTGTTAAAAAACTCATTGAAAAAAATCTTAAAGCTAACTTGATGACAAATAAATTAAAAGTTTACAAAGACAAAGAATTTGAAAATGCGTTCTTTGGAGTAGATAGAGAATAAAAATGTAAACTGAAACCAATATTTGTATAATACAATTAAGTTTCGGTATTTTCTTGTTCGTGGAACTTAATTTTTAATCTGAAATTCAGACGAAACAAACGTTGATTGAAATTATTTGGTTTGTTTCGAAAGTTAAAATTTTTCATGATTTCTAGAACTTTTGAATGAAGTCAAGATGTGTGTTCATGACCCAAGAATGCATTCCCAAGTTGCATCAGCATGACCCGAGAAAAAATAATAGCGACTTAACATAGAATAAAAACTGACGGCATGACTTAAAAAAAACTGATGGTTCGACTTAAGAAAAGACTGACAGCTTGACTCAAGGAACAACTGACGATCCAACTTGAAAAAATTGAAAAGTTTTTCAGCGCGGCAATTTTGGAAATTTTTATGTCGCAAAATTAGAACACATTGACCGCGCTTCTTAAGAAAAAACTGACGGCTCGACTTAAAAAATACTGACGGCGAAACTTCAGAAATGACTGACTGCTTTTTTTGATATTTTTTTAGTCGCACCGTCAGTCCTTTCCTATGTCGAGCCGTCAATCTTTACTTAATTTTCGAACAAGTCGCAACGACAAAACTTTTTCCGAATTTGGGCCGCTAAAATTTTTTTTAAAAACTAGCGCCATCAAAATTTCCCTAAAATGTGCCGTAAGCAAAGGACTAATGGTGTGAGTCAAAAAAAAACACTGACAGCGCAAATGAGAAAAGATTGACTAGTCTCGCGAATTTTTAGCAGCCCAAACAAATAGAGAACCTATCGAACAAAATGATAGCCCGACCGATCCGACATTCAAAAAAACATGAATCGCAGAACTTTACCGCACTCCATTTAGGGTAATTAGGCTCTACAAGTTTTTTTTAATAAATATGATATTTACACTACCAATTTTGATACCAATAAAAATTGCTAAAAATATAATAATTTTTGAGAATTTAAAATGTCAATTATTCCATGATATTGTAAAAAGTGTATTTTGTCTTAAGTCTGTTAAAAATTCATTGAAAAAAAATCATAAAGCTAACTTGATGACATATAAATTAAAAGTTTACAAAGACAAATAATTTGAAAAAGCGTTCTTTGGAGTAGATAGAGAATAAAAATGTAAACTGAAACCAATATTTGTATAATACATTTAAGTTTCGGTAATTTCTTGTTCATGGAACTTAATTTTTAATCTGAAATTCAGACGAAACAAACGTTGATTGAAATTGTTTGGTTTGTTTCGAAAGTTAAAATTTTTTATGATTTCTAGAACTTTTGAATGAAGTCAAGATATGTGTTCATGACCCAAGAATGCATTTTCAAGTTGCATCAGCATGACCCGAGAAAGTATAATAGCGACTTAACATAGAAAAAAAACTGACGGCATGACTTGAAAAAAACTGATGGTTCGGCTTAAGAAAAGACTGACAGCTTGACTCAAGGAACAACTGACGATACAACTTGAAAAAATTGAAAAATTCTCAGCGCGGCAATTTTGGAAATTTTGATGTCGCAAAATTAGAACACATTGACCGCGCTTCTTAAGAAAAAATTGACGGCTCAACTTAAAAAATACTGACGGTGAAACTTCAGAAATGACTGACGGCTTTTTTTGATATTTTTTTATTCGCACCGTCAGCCTTTTTCTATGTAGAGCCGTCACTTTTTACTTAATTTTCGAACAAGTCGCACCGACAAAATTTTTTCCGAATTTGCGCCGCTAGAACTGTTTTTAAAAAGTGGCGCCGCAAAATTTCCTTAAATTGTGCCGTAAACAAAGGACTAATGGCGTGACTCAAAAACAACACTGACAGCGCAAATGAGAAAAGATTGACGAGTCTGGCGAATTTTTAGCAGCCCAAACAAATAGAGAACCTATCGAACAAAATGATAGCCCAACCGATCCGACATTCAAAAAACATGAATCGCAGTACTTTACCGCACTCCATTTACAAGGGTTTTTTAAAAATATGATATTTACACTACCAAGTTTGTTACCAATAAAAATTGCTAAAAATATAATAACTTTTGAGAATTTTAAATGTCAATTATTCCATGATATTGTCAAAAAGGCATTTTGTCTTAAGTCTGTTAAAAAACTCATTGAAAAAAACCATAAAGCTAACTTGATGACAAATAAATTAAAAGTTTACAAAGAGAAAGAATTTGAAAATGCGTTCTTTGGAGTAGATAGAGAACAAAAATGTAAACTGAAAGCATTATTTGTATAATACAATTAAGTTTTGGTAATTTCTTGTTCGTGGAATTTAATTTTTAATCTGAAATTCAGACGAAACAAACGTTGATTGAAATTATTTGGTTTGTTTCGAAAGTTAAAATTTTTTATGATTTCTAGAACTTTTGAATGAAGTCAAGATGTGTGTTCATGACCCAAGAATGCATTTTCAAGTTGCATCAGCATGATACGAGAAAATATAATAGCGACTTAACATAGAAAAAAAAACTGACGGCATGACTTGAAAAAAAAAGATGGTTCGACTTAAGAAAAGACTGACAGCTTGACTCAAGGAACAACT